GAGTGTGCAGAGGATGTTCACCTGCCCTGTCAGAGAGCAGAATCCAGCTGTTGGATGGTCCACAGCATAGGCATTGCAAACCACTCTTTTGGATCACTCACACATCTGGAAAGAAAGGCATGGAGAAGGTTAGATCATAGACATTTTCCACAGCAAATTAGTTAACATTAACTGCAGGAAAAAATTATTTGTGAGGAGAACCGTCCAGGAAACCAATTAAAAAAGTGGACTCGAGGGGGTGTGTATTCAGAGAACTGTGTGGGAAGCTGTGTGCATAGCTTCCACTGAAGTCAGTGTCCAGAGGGGCATCCTGGGGGATGGATGAGCCACGAGAAAATGTCTTTAAGCATTGTCACCTTTATCTGGGTGAATATGAAACCTGTCACTTATTACCTGATGACCGTGTTCATAGCCTGGTTAAAAAGTGGGATAAGCAACCACGGTGAAAAAACCCAACAGAACAAAACACCACAACACAATACAAAACAAAACAAAACAAATCAAACCAAAGCTATCACCACCAAAATCAATCAACCAACCAACCAAGCCAGTGAGTGGGAGAGGGGCAGGCTACACACTAATGTTTTACATTTCTGCCCCAAGCTTTTCACACAGCTCACAAATCTTCAGAAAACTGGACAAATGTGACTCCATTTTGAATAATTGCTAGGATAAAGAAATGAAATTACTTTCCCAAGGAGTCCCAGTGCTCACCCCATTAAAATTGGGGATGAATGCATGTGCCCCTTTCCCTGCTTTGTTCTTGAATCTATTTGCAGAAGCCAGTGGTAGTTTCAGTAGAGGACAAAATGTACTTTTTAGTGACTTTGCTGCTCATCTGACCCAACTCCTCATGCTGATGGTTCCCATTTTATTTTGTGAGGTATCATGTTGTGGTGCTTAAAAGGTGGCTTGTGCTTCCTCTAATAGTATCTCTTTTTCAAGTAAATAAAGCTCCTCAGACTCCACAGAAACTATCACAGCGCTTTTTCTCTGCAGTAAATTATGACCAAATAACAAAATGTTTCAAACTCTCAAAGGCTGTAACTAAATACAGCCAGCAATCCCCGACTTTCTGAATTACTGCAAGAAAGCCAAGTTCTCTGTGGTGGCTCAGCAGATCAAGGGCACTTACTCATGAGTGAACAGGCATGATCACTGCACTGTGGCTGCGTTGTGTTGGGACAGTGCTGTCCACAGGTTGGGGTGGGGAGTGCTTCAAACCAAGCCAAGCAGTTCCTGTGCCTGAAATGCCTTCCTTGAGAGCAGAGAGCCCTTCCAGAGGACAGGCATAAACTGCACTGGTTGTTTTTTGTGCGTCTCGAAGGGCAGATAAATGTCTGTATTTACAAAGGACCACGAAACAAACTCTGTGAGAGGAACTCTACTGTTGCATGAGCTCCCTGTGCCAAGTGCACGGAGCCTGGAAAGGGCTGTGATGGAGGTCCAGCACAGGGGAGCTGCTGGGAAGAGCTGTCAGCATTTGATGTCTCTTAACCACTTTTAAGTTCTGTAGTAAACACGGGGACTGCTGTAAAACCAGAGCTGTGGTGGGTGCCAAACCTGTGCTCCCCTTGGAGGTCTTGGGCAGGAACAAAGTTTCAGGCTGTGCTGGTTGGGTCTGGGAGGCAGGACTGCTGCTCAGGACACGCCTGAGTGAGGCCACCATGCCCTGGTGTCACACGCTGGCCTCACCATTTCTTTGTAGTTCTGACTCGGATCTGACCTGTCCAGGTGAAACATTGGAAACTGCCTTTCAGGAGATTTCAGCCAAATTTATGTGTTTAAATGTAAACCAAGGAAAATCAATTGTATTGCCCAAGTAAAAAATCTTTTGGAATTTCTCCTGAGAAGCCCTAGCACATCTATGGCTCACAGAGGAAAAAGTGGAAATTTGGAAGGGCATCCTCTGCATAGTGAGTGCTCTTTTATCACCTTGAGGAACATCTGGGCATGCTGTAAGCCTCTGAAAAATCACATTAATTTAATGGAATCTCCTTTATAAGCAAAACCCTCATTATGGTTCAGCTCCTGTGCATGAGTGGACTTTCTGTGCACATCCCACCACCCTCCAGGAGGGCAGACCCTTCCATCTGAGCAGGCTCATGCTCAGAGACGATGAAGGCAAAGGATGATTTTCCCCACAGCTCCTGCTTAGCCAGGAGCTTGGGAAAAGCCACTGGGATAGGGTGGTGTGAAGGAGGAAGCTTCACACTAATGTTCCTGCTGGGAGATGGGCAGAGAGCAGGAGGAATGGAGGATGATGGGGATGCTGAGGGAAGAGCACAACCCACCAGTGGAAAAGCTGGGATAAAGGGCTTGGAGAAACACAAGATCAATGGCTGTGAGGCAGGATGTGGAGAAAGGACTTGCTGAGACAAGAGACTGGTGGGGAAAGGTGCTGTGAGGGAGGTGAGGTCTGGGATTAGCTGGGAATTGGGAGAGCAAGAGAAACAGAGCTGAAAGGACATGAATGCAAGAGTGCAGCCTTCCTAGAGGTCGTTCAGTAAAACATGAAATACTGAAGTTTGAGCATTATTTCTTTTCTCCTTCAGGATTTGGTGCCATGGACATTAGAAAATACCAGGATAAGTTCTGATTCTCAGGTCCTGACCAGCGCAGGGGTCTTTGAGACTAGTTAAACATTTAGGGTTTAACTGTCTGAGAAACTGAAATCTCTGGGAGATCTTACCCCCCACCACAAGAAAGGCAAACTGCTCTAGTTTGTCTCAGAAATGGGGATCTTCAGGATTTATTTTCCTGCAAAGCTGAGAGCTCAAAAAGGTATTGCACTCAGCTTGGTGGAGTCTGCAGCATCGACTTTCAAACCAGAGTCTGTGAAGCACAGGCTCCACACACAGCTTTTGTAAGGCCTGTGCAAAGGTCTTTCAGAAAAACAGAACTTTTGCTTAAACTCTCTACAATTGCAGGTTTTACCTATAGGAAACCAGGAAAAAATTACAAGTCCTCACTGGACAGTGGAAGAATACAGGGCAGACCAGAGACACTTCAAAATCAGTTTTCCTCTTATGAGGAGGCCACTTCTGTGGAGCCAAGGTTAAGCACTTGGGTTTTTGGTTTGGTTCATGCCCTTTGGGCCCCTGTCTGCCAAGGCTCATCCTTTCTGATGAAGATAAATTGCCTCTGACCACCAGAGATTTCAGTTTTAGTTCCAGCTGGGATATGCTGGTAATCCTGAGATACAAAATTGTCTTCTGAATATATTGCAGTTAACTTCAGTTGTATAAATCCAAGCATTAGCTGGATACTATAAATAGGCAGGATGTGCAAGGAGGCCAAGTCAAAAATGTGCAGAAACCCTGCCTTTTTTCCTTCGTGCTATGCTTCATCATGTACCATATTTTTCATCTGAAAAGGAAACAGCATGCACGTGCTTTGTGGCTGCTGTAATTAACTGGACATAATGAAGCGTTGAATTTCACACTCCAGAGAAGTAGATTGGGAAGGATGGGTGATCTTTTCTCAAGTTTTCCTGCTTTTAGTATTTTCTTTGAGGTAATTTTCTGCAAGATTGGGTAGGGAGCAGAAATACATCTGGTTTATATTACATGATGGCTGTACTTTGGCAATGGAAAAAGATGGCACTTAAAAAAAAAGGAAAGAAGAATAAAAAAGAAAAGTTTGGCAATGACAGAACAGAGCAACAATTACAAGAACTATCTTAAAATTCCCAGGATTTGTGATTTATTTTTCCATGCTTGCATTTTTCTGATGTTGCTGGTGTTAAAGGAGTGGGACAGAGGAAATTCAGTTGGACTTTGCAAAGTTCAGATATCTCTGTGAAACAATTCCCTTTACTCAGGTTGCCCCCACAGCTGCTGCTGTGATTTGAACACAAAAGGGATAAAAGCAAGAAAAAGTGATAGACCATGACTTTTTATCTCGTGTTTCCTTCAGCCAGTGGACATGAAGTCTTGAAGGGGGTGTCTCTCTTGGCTGGTCTGGTCTGTGGGGACGAGGCAGAAGCAGGATTAAAGCGGATGGCTTTGGAAACAGAGCCATGTGAGGCATCTTTGCGGTGGGAGAGGGGAAAATGTATTCCAGCAATGCAAGAGCACCCGGTGGTACATCCCCTGGCACAGTTTCCAGCCTCTGTATGTCCACCCAGAAAACAAGTTTTGCCCCCTCACACATGCAGGAGCACAAAGAGCTGAGACTCTACTGGTGCTGTGACCACCTGGCTCTGGGGGCAGAGGTGTTGGGAGCCCAGGACAGAGAGCTGGGCTTTTTTGGGCAACCTGGATCCTGGGAGCACCTTCCCAGGGCAGAGCAAGCCAAGCCTCCCCTGGGGCTGCTCCTCACTGCCTCCAGTTTGGAGAGTGCAGGGGTTCTGGGCACCTTGGGAATCTGCTTCCCCTGCACCAGGGTCTGAACTCTGGGAGCTTTTTTCACCCCCAGGGTTGTTCAGCAACTGAGCAACTTGAAATAGAACACTGGAACAAAAATATGTTCTGAGTGATCTTTAAGTAAAAGCTAATGTGAAAATGTGGGAGTTTAGACCAATGTAAACACATTACATTTAAAACAATTTTCAGATGTAGTAAATAAAAAAATTTGTTCCTGCTCTTGAAATTCCTAAAAAACACATTTTCCTGTTGAGTCATGATTTAGATTATATTTTATTAGACATTTTTTACAAATTTTAAAATACTGCTATTATACATGCACAAAGGAAAATCAGTTTGAACAATTGTATGTAGGCATTCATTGAAGTCAACCACAAAACAGGAACATTTTATGTCAGTTATCAATGTACTCAATATGTATATCTAAAGTGCATTATGTTACAAAAAATATAGAAAGTCAGCAGCACCAAGATACGTTCACAAAATAAATACACCAGTCAACAAAATAAATTATGGTAAATGTGACAATAATAATTGTCTTAGCCTTAGCCAAAAAAAAAAAAAAAAAAAAAAAGGAAAATTCACAATAACCAAATGTGCAGTTTCAGAGAGCAATGGGGGGAAAAGGTTTTATTCTGAGCATTTACAATATTTACAGGTAATAAATATTTTAATACTTCCCATATGTTCACTATTACAGAATACTGCAATGTGTCTTCCAAATATCTCTTGCTGAAAACATCAGCGCCTCCTGCAAAGAAAAGAAGGGACAAGAAAAACAGAAAAATTAATTAATTTTCACTTTTTCACTTCAAATGTGTGGACATAGAATCAATAGCAAGAGTGCCACAAGCTGTAACAGGTGTGCCTTGCTAGTAACCTTCTGCCATAACAGGGCGTGTTTGATCATGTCACAGCTTTAGACATTTATTCAAGATCTCTGTTACGTTTTTCTCAATGCAACTCCTCTAGAATTGTCATGACCCACAGTTTGTCACACACTGAGGCCATTGTACCCTCAGAGGAATGGAAAGGGGCTTTTTTTTTTATTTATAGCCTCATGCAAGAAGATACCTGAGTATCTTCTCAGGCAGAAGAATTGTATCACCCTATGATAAAAATGTCAAGTGCTGAAAAGAAAAAAAAAATACAGTTGGAGGAAAGCAAAAATAATTTTGAGTCCTTGTTAACGCTGTGGTGGTGCTGTGTTCATGCTGGGGTGTGATGCCATGTTCTGATGAATACAGTGCCATGGGGCTCACTTGGTCTCTTTTTCCCACTGAGAGACCAGCTCTCAGGCAGGGGGCTGTGGTGTGTGTGTGAGCAAAGGCTGCTCAGAGCTTGGAGCCAGCACAACCTTGATGGCATCTCTTCCTGTGCCTGGCTGTGTGAAAAGGCTCTAATCCTGGACCTTTCCCTCTGGGAGACAGAGAGCTTGGTCCTGAAAGAAAGCAGCCATCCCATCCTGTTACCCTGCAGCTCCTGTTTCGTTCAGCCCTGCTGAAGCAATCAGCTGCACCCAGTCCTGAGACCTGGGAGTTTTCCAGGGGATGCTGCAGGCTGGTGTGAGCTCTCTCCCCATGAGAACAGAGCAGAGCCTGCTCCCACCCTGTCAGTGTATTCCCTGTGCTCCCACATGAAGTTGCTGCAGGAAATGCTGAAGGGTTGGGCTTTTTTCCCTCCTGTCCCTGTGAACAGCATGTGTTTTTTAGGGGTTCCCTGGGAAGCACCTAAGATATAGGATGGAGTGGGCTTCTCTCTGCTGCAGGGCTGATCACCAGAGCTGGGGGTAACTTCCCATGTGGCCAAAATTGTGTGGGTGTGAGGCACAACAAGCCTCAGCTCCTGGAGGGTTTAAAAGGTTTTCTTAACATACATATTGAATGGGAAGCTACATCTATCATTCAGGAGCTTACACATTTAAAAGGTTTTTTTGAAATTAAGTAAGAGCACCTTAATTTAATTTAAATGGGAATATAGCTGGAATGTTCATGAGAAATAATTTTAAAGTGCCTGGAATGGAAATGCTAGCATGAAGCTCCTTGATAATTAGGTAGCAAGAATATTAGGGTCCATTTCAGGATATATTCCAACAGGTGTAACAACGGCACATAATTCATACAGCATGGCTGTGTGTGTGTGCATGTCTGCACTACTCAGGCCTATTTCTAAGATAGTGAAATTTTCAATTTAGCCTGGATTTCAGGCTTGGTTTTAAAGTTTAAGCTAAGCCACATCTTGACAGTGGGCTCTGTACTAATGATAATTTGCAAGCTGCATTCTGTGATTTGGACCTAGGTTTTGCAAGATTGGCTTCTTCCATGAGATACTCCTTGTAGGAATTCAAAAGATCTAGAGTTTATGTTATTGTTGTCCATTTTTTTGGATCTAAACCCAAAATTTTGTTTTCAAGACTGATCAGAGAGAATTGGAATGAAGATTTAATCCAGGGTGTTCAGCAGAACAGAAGCATAGAGCTACAGTGAAAATCATGCTTAAAGTTTACATCTTTTGCTAGCCTACTGAGATAACTTAAAAACTCAGGTACTAGAAGTTTGTTAGGGCTGAACCAACATATTCTCTGTACTTGTGAAGGAGGAATTCCCTTTTCCTTTTTTAATGGATTCTCCTTATTTAATCATCTCAAATTAATTATCTAAAAAATAAGTTCTTTTTAAGAATCTGTGAGAAATGCTGCATTTGGATATTGAACTCCACAGTAAAGCTGAGAGCCTTCAGCCATCCAGACACACTTCAAACAGAAAGGCTGAACTGGGAAAACCAATAAGGTTGTACCTGTCTTTTATATGTCCCATTAGATGGACTCCAAAGACAACACAGCAAGAAAAAGAAATTGAAATTCTTGAAATTCCCTAGGATGTTTGTGCCTACAGCCTAGATTTCTTTGTGCTCAAGACAGGTGTCATACACTGACCAACACGACTGTGTTGATATCTGTTGATATCTTGACCTTGATATCTGTTGAAACCTCAGGCACCTCCTGAGCAGAATCCTGAAGTTTGCCTTTCCTAAGGTGCTGAGACAAACCAGAGTCTCTTACTTCCCTCCTACCTGCTACAGCCATGCCACCTGGTTTTTGGTCTGGGATATCCTGGTTTTTGGTCTGGGATATCTGGTTTATGGTCAGGGATACCCTGGTCCATGATCTGAGTGCCCAGCCCCAGGTGTTGGTGGCTCCTTTAGGTGCCAACATGAGCTGAGGTGATGGAGCACATTGCAAACTGTGGGCTGTAAAGCTTAATCCCAGGCTGGATTTTTAGTAAATCCCACAGCTGGTGTCTCTTTCCAAGGGATTTACTGTAAGCAAGTGACACTTCTCTGATGTCTCTCTTCTGCCAAGGTGAAGGGGAGGAGGAGAGAAAAGGATGGGGTTTTGCTGGTGAAATGCAAACATTTGAGGAGAACTGAAGAGTGGAATCCTTGGCCTTGTCTGCAAGTGTGCAGATTTCCACTCAAGCTGAGATGACTGCAAGGGGATGATTCACTTGGGACATCTAGGCTGATGTCTCCAGGCCACTGCCCTAAAAACCCTTCACTGTCATGCATGAGGGAAGTATGTCCCTCTCCAAGAGCAATGCTAAACATTTTTAAGCAGCAACGTAATTGCTTCACAAGCTGGCAAAAGGATGGAGCTGAATTAAAAAATCCTAATGGCAGGGAAAATTTTATGGTGAAAGGCTGGTCTGCGTTGTTTGCAGATATTACTGAGAGAGAATTTTTCCATGTTCTCCCCTAAGGTTAAACAGTGAAATGAAAAACTGTAAAGCAAGGGTAGGAAAGGAGCCAAAAAGGGGAGGTGTTGAGAGGAAGGAAAGAAAACTTCGCCATTTTATAGATGCACAACCTTAAATAAAAGTCAAAGCTTTCAATCTGCTGAGGCCCAAGTGTGGGACCAAGATACGATGTGAGATACACTACGGTTAAAGCAGGAAGGGAAAATTTAGTTACTGTGGTATGCTTCCTTTTTACAGAATTGCCTTCTTTTACTACTCAGCTTCAGTGAGCAGATTTCAGCAATAAGTTGTTTATGTGAGTTGTGTCTCATGGGAAAGAAAGGCTCTGTCTCCAGTGCAAAGTGGAAGGGGCACTTACCTGCTGAGAGCACCTTGAGACTGTGCTTGAAAAGTGGCTTGAAAAGCCACTGCCAAGTCACAAGCACAAAGATCTGCTTTTACTCCCAGTTTGAGCGAGGCCTTGGCCTCAGCCTCTCACACCAAGGGATAACAACTTCAGTTAAATAAATTGCATGCTCCCCAAAAGAATATAGCAGAATTACCTCAAAGTTTGATTATGTGTAGTAACAGAGATGTCCAAGAGTGGGCTCTCGGTCACGACGTCTCCGTACAAGCCAGAATTTAGCCAAGCTGAGCGGGTTCGCCTCTTTTTCTTCTCTTGTTCCTTACGTTTTCCAGGCTTTGCTTTCTTTTTCTTCCCTGACACCTTCAGGGGCTGCTCCTTGTAGGTTTGTGATTTGTTTGTCTCCTGAGTTAGGTATCTGCCCTCATCTTCGCTGCCAAACCTGACAGGGTAGTTCTTGGTGTTGGTGGCAGGTTTAGGGTTAGGTGACACTTCTGACGTTGCGCGGATCTCTGCAGTGTTGACACCTTCGATTAAATTTTGAAGGAATATTCTTCTTCGTAAGTCTTGGATTGACTTGCCCTTGTCATGCAATAGCTGGTGCTCTGATACAGCTCGTTTGCTAAAAGAAGAAAAGAGAGGAGAGGGAAAAAAATTTAGGATTTGGTTATTGAATTCCCAGTGTTTGGCAGAGCTCCTCTCTTCTCTGGCTGTGGTGGCCACAGTGATCATGTACCAGGCTTGGAGAATCCAATGAAGCCAGACTGCTGGAGCAAGTCCTGCTTCATCCTCAGAGTAGCTGCTCTCAGCAGAGAAGAGAAAGACTCAAGTGGGTAATAATTCTCAGCTGACCGATCACACACCCCTGGAGCTGGATTAGTCACAGCTCTGTTCTAGGAAAGCATCATGACTCTTAATATATCACACTTGGGGCAGTAAAAGCAGGAAGGCAGTTGTCAGAGATAGGAAAACTAAAGGGTCAGATAATACAGGAAGAGAGGGAAAACCCACCACTTGTACTGGAGCCGGAAGCAGTGTTTATACAGCACCATTCTAGTGATTTTCTTCTGCTTAGTCATGTACTTCAAAAACATAAACAAGCACATAAAAGTGCATTTTACTCCTACATTTAAAGAAGTGAAATACAGGAGTATAAGGGAAAAATGTTTGAATTTGGGTGCCTAAAGCACAGGCACTTCAGTCCATAATGAGCTATCCAAGGAGGCAGCCTGAGCATCAGCAGAGATGAGCCTCAGCCACTCCTGTGGATTTACTGCTTGCTCACTTGTGTCTAATTATGGTTTTAGATGCCCTCCTAGTATTGCTTGAAGTGTGAACTTTGGGGCCAAATTTCTTGTGTGCTGTGCTGTTTGAATTTTATGCTAAACCTCTTCACTGGATCTTCATCAAGAGCATCCTGGGTTGTTAGAGTGGTTTTTCCAGAGTTCATCCTGACCTTTTGGTACACTGAGCTCTGTCTTGTTTTCAAGGAACTGGGAGTTGAGTAGCTATCTGTCTTTTAGAGATGTTGTACTGGCAAGGAATGTATTAAACATCTGAGGAAAGAAGATACAAATGACACCTGGATAATAAATAACCAGAGAAAATGTGAGAAAATACATGCCTTTTTCTTGAAGTGGAATAGATGCACAGCTGTGCTGTGAACCACAGACAGAGCACAAGCTGGGATTTTAGCTGCGTTCCCATGAATGCAATAATACAGTTTATCCTTCCAATTGCTCTACTCCAGCATGCAGAGTTTGGCTATGGAATCTCTCCTCTTGCATCAGGGTATGGCATGCTGCTGGATTCTCACTGGCCAAAGAAATTCCATTCACTGCTTTGCTTGTCCTATAATCATCTGGTCAATTAGCTGGGTAAGAAGTGGTTTTTGCATGTGGGTGAACTGGAAGAAGACACATCATTGGGAGTGAATATTTCTTCCTTCCATCCCATCCTGCTATGTTACCAGATTTGAAAATGCAAAATATTTGGGAGTGTTCTGCAGGTTCTCTTTCTCAGTCCCCTCAGCCAAACTATTCAGGTTTATGACTTGATCAATAACAGAGCTATTGGAAGTTGGTAATTTAAAGTAACTCTGTTTTAAGGGAACCCCCTTCAATTTTTGTCTTTGTAGGGCTGCACTTTTTGAGTACTGGGTTCAAATGATGGATTGAAGTGATACTACATCTCTGTTGCTCAGTGCAAAATTCAAACAGCAGCTTTCCCCCATTCCACAGTGAGACTGGAAGATGACTGTCAAAATCTTGCTCAAAATCAGCTCTGCATATACAGAGGTTTGTGAGTAATATTGGCTGTGTTTTAAGCGTCCCAAAATCAGTTTTGGATTACTTCAGCCTTTAGGACAAATATTTTATGCCCCTCTTCTAAATGTCCCTAAGCAAAAATGCAATGTGACAATGCTAAGCTGATCCCACATCGTGTCTTTCTCTTCAGTGCAGCTGTGACCATTAACACAAACTCGTGATCTGCCTCAGAAGTTTTTTGAACAAGAGCCATCTCCAACACCCTTCTCATTAGGGTCAGTCTGACTGGCAAGTAGGCCAATAAAACCAGCACCCTGGGCTCCTCTGTGTCACTGCCTCTGTGCTGCCTGTCAGGCTGTCCGGTGTGACCCAGGTTACATTCCGAGCTTCACTAGTCTATTTTCTCAGGAAATCTGCATGGCAAATGCAGTTCTGCTTTCACTCTTTTAGTTCATAGAAAGTGTATGAAATCTCTCTGCTTTAGGGAGTGTAAACCAGTGTCTCATGTGATGAGCAAAGCTTTCCTACTGCCTCTTGTGAACTACCAAGGATAATTCCTTCTATCACAGACAACCCAAAGCTGCCTTAATCCTCTAATGTGTATTTGGTCAACTTCCCCACTGTGACAAAATCTTGACTCTCCAAAGCCTGTTATTAAAGTCCACTTGATTGAAAACCTATTCCATTTTACAGAGCTGAAACCTAAACATTTGGTTCCAGTACACACAAGGCAGTCAGAGAGCATTACAAGATCTACATCTTGAGTGAGTATGCATTTCCAAAATAATGCAGGGATTGACGTGTGAGGGATTGGTGTGCCAAAGAGGGTAGGTTTCTCTTTAAATGTCTGTATGATATTTAGCATCAAGTCTGGCCCCAAATAACATTCTGCTATTCCAGATGATTGTATAACATTATGTAGTGTTACATTTCACATGACTTTTATTACTCAGCCAGACTTAAGGATTACATTTTGCCTACCAGCTTCCTTTGTATACTCTAGACCAAAAAACCTCCTTGAAACAAAGATGTGGTAGATACGTATCTCTTTGACCTTCTGCCTCAGTTATTCAAACAACTCCTATGTTTGTAAGTCACGGAGAAAGGCTTGCCCAAGAGGACTGATGTAAGAAGTGCTTCATAATGGAGATATCAACAATATCTCACCCACACACTCAGAGGAGGAAGGCAATGGAGACTGCAGTGATTGCATTCACATATTGGCCACAATATGGAAAAAAACATTAGGCTGTTAGGGTTAAGATGACCCACTAGAGGTCCCTTCCATCCTTCTATAAAACACACCTCTCATCCAAGGAAAAGAATCATGTATCCAAACCAAGAGCAGTATATGCTAAGCTTACATGTGGCAGACACTTTTGAGAGAGGGATGTTGATGGTTTGTACTTGACCAGAGCATCCAAACTGATTACTGGATCCAAGTACACTGTGTACATATGAGGCTGAGTGTCTCATCATGGGGAGAGCAGCAGAAATCCATGACTTCTGGCTATCCTGATTTCATGTACTTCCAGATAAGCTGCTCTTTTCAGGCAAAGTCTTCCTTCTTTTTTTTTTTTTTTTTTTTTTTTTCCTTGAGATATCTAGCATTTCTAAAAGGCAACATTCTTCAAGCTACAGCTTTCTATCTCTGAGAGCTGCTCTTATTTAGCTGTTATTATCCTTGACTGTTCATGTTGGGTCTGATCCCAAATTCAGCAAAATAACTGAGGAGGATTCAGTCAGCTCTCTGTATTTTGCAAGACTGAGTGCCCTTGCCACTGACTCCAAAGGGAGGGAAATCTGCTCAACCTATCTCAGGCTCCAGAAAAATATTTTGAACAGATCTAGGGACATGATGCTGCGATGTCTGGACATGATGATAAAAATATGAAATTTCATTTTGAGGCATTACTGGTTTCTCAGAAGTTCTTTAGCAGCTAAAGCACTCCTATAACAAATAACATGTCTGGAAAACTTTTCTTGGGACAATTTGCTATTGCTTTCCATGAGATATTTGCTTCAGCAAAGTCTGTAGAACCAGGCCTATATAATTTTGATTATTTTTGCATGTCTATAATAATGTGCTTCAGTATTTTCATCCATTACTGGCTTAAGTTTTTGACTGAGAAAAAAAAATCTCAAAGCCTAAATGAGTTATTAGCCATTAACTCTAGGAATGGTTTGTGGTGATATTAAAACAGGACACATGTTTGAGTGTGGTGTCTGTGTTTGTGCTGTGCCCACAAACAAAACTACATGAATGCCACTAACTGACAGCTGACTGGTTTCTTGTGTGTGTTTTACATGCCAGAGCAAAGAGGGAGCTGAGAAATGCTTTTTCACTGGTTAGCTTACACTTTTCTTCCCCCCTGTCAGGACAGAATGGGGAAGCTGGGAAGACCTCTGATCCTGACCTTTAAAAACAAGTGTTAGAACTACACTAACTTCAAAAAGAGAAAGAGTATTTCTCTGCAAATCTATTTTTTTTAACAACCAATTTTGGCTTGGATCCAGTTCAGAGTTTCCTAGCCAAAAAAATAACAGCATCTAACTGCACTTCAATTATTTTCTTTTTTTTATTTATTTTTGAAACTTAAGTTTAATTTCCCTATATAATATGGTCCCAAAAGAAAGAAATAGCCCAAGAACAGCTTTCAGGAGTACAAAGCAGTTAAAGGTTAATGGACTGAGAATAATACACTGTAACATTATCAGCAATAACATGTTCTACACAATTTGCTGTAGGAGATTTGTAATAGCTCTCTGCCTGGTGCCAAAATTTAGGTGTGTCTGAAGTCGCTTCACCTGGAGTATTTTTTTTTCTTTTGTGTGTTTGGGGTTTTTTTTAATTATTATTATGTGTGTTGCTTAAGTGGCAGAGGAAATGCTATTTGGAGATCTTGTCCTTATGTATGTAATAAAACATTTACAAGGAAACCCATCTGAAATTGTTTGCTGTGTCATGTTTCCCTGTAAGTTGTGATCGGATTTTCCAGCACTCTTTCCCCAACTTGGCTTCCTTTGGAACTGAATAACAATACAGCCCTCCCCAGTGTGACTGAGGTGTTTCTTCCTTAGAAAATCTGATGCAAGCCAGGGAGTCAGATGTGTGAGACAGCTGCTCCCGCATCAGTGCAGAGGCTTCTCCTGCACTTTGTGTATGGGTATTACTATAAACCAGGCTGATTATTTTGGAAGAAGCAAAAAGGTCATTTCCTGAACAGACTGTCTTAAGTTACACTATCATTTATCAAAAAATATTCTTCTGCCTATAAGTAAGATACTGGACTCCCTTTGGATTTTTTTTCCCCCTGAAGTGGCAGAAATCCAAAGAAATTGTTCAGTACTTCAGTGTCATGATGGCCCTCACTTCTGCATGTTTCCCCTACCCCTATCAATATTGGCTCCACGCCAGAGCCGAGGAAGCGTCTGTAAGTTAGGGCAACACACAGCGTTTGGATAAACCGGGATGCTCCCTGCGAGGGTCCCGGGCAACTGCGCAACAATCACCCAGGTGTGTCGGAAGAGAAGCCCCTCAGCTTTCACATCGCCTCCCCCAAAGCTTTGTAAGGTCAGGAGGCTGCAAAGAGCCCTTTCCCTGCCCCGAATGTGCTCTCAGGTGAGCACCTGGGGCAGGTAACCCGGGCCGGCCCCGCGCAGAGCCGGCAGCGCTGCGGAGCCTCCCGGGCTGCCTCCCTCCCTCCCTCCCTCCCTCCCTGCTCCCCACCCGCCCCGCGGCCGCAGCGAGGGCGAATAAAGGCAAAGACGAAAAAAATAAAAGAAAGAAAAAGAGAAACTCACAGTCTGCGGCTGATCCCCTCTACTGATCTCCCGTAGGAGGGCACGGAATAACTCAGCAGGAACACAGCGAAACTCCACTGCTGGAAGAGTTTAGCGAACATTGTATCCTCCGGGGCTTAAAACCTGCAAGGAAAGAGAGGTCAGTCCCGAGGGACAGATGCGCCAGCGCCGTCCTCAAGGAGTCCTAGCTTCGGCTCTACCAGCTCCGAGGCTCTGAAGGAAAAACAAACTTTCTGAGCTCTCGGCTCACTCCTTCCAAACTTCGCTCTGTCTCTCTCCCTTCCTTGCTGTCTGCCTCTCCCTCCCTCCCTCTTTCCCTCCCTCCCTCCCTCTCTCTGTCTCTCGCTGCCCGCAGGCAAGATCTCTCTCAGTATTAGTTCAAAAAGCATCTAGCTCTCATTTGAACGGGGTTAGAGCGGGGTTCAGTGAGTTCCCTGAGCCCTGTTTAGCTCTAGTCCGCTAAGCCACCCTCTCAGGGCTTTATGTTACAGCAGAAGCACTCTTTGCAGATAAGGAAAGATTCCCAAAAAGTCAGCTCAGCTGCTCGCTTCTCTGTAATTACGCGCGGACACACAAACACACACACACACACAGGCTGAGGCGGAGGGGGAATGCATCTCCGCATCTGTCTTTCGGTATACCTCTGCAAAAAAAAAGGGTCAGGTTCACGTCCCCTGCTGCCAGAAAGTTTTGGTCCCCAACAGTGACAAGGAGAGAGACAAGCGGTGACAAGGAGAGACAAGCAAAGGTCGCTGCCTATCTGGAGAGCCCGAGAGGTCTGGGAGGAGCGGTAGCCCCGGGAGGCTCAGGGGCTGGGAAGCACGCTTGGCTCGGCAGGTTGGACTGGGCTGCAGCCTGCGATGTTCACACGCTCCGGAGCAGCCTCTGGGAGACCTGAGGGAGCACGGAGGGTTTTGCAAAGAGATGGCGCCCTAGGAACATGTGCGGAGAGAGCGAGAGCCCGGGCGGGATACCCACAGCCAAAACGGAGACTGGGAATCAGCGCTTCCCGGGCCCGCAATCAAAAAGGAGCGAAGAAAGGGAAACACCGGGCAGCACACGCACTCAGCGCACCCCAAGGACTCCGACCGAGCTCTCCGCATCCTCTGCAGCCGCACTCCTCTCTCGCTCACCTTCCAGCTCCCCCTTTCTGTGTTTACCCCCGGGTCAGCGTCTCCCCTGCCGCGGGGGTTCCTCCCATCGCTGGGAGCACTTTTTAGCTCAAGCCCCAAAGCGCTGCCCGGGACTGCCGCCGCCTTTCCTTGCACGCACCTACCGTCGCTGGTCGCCGTTCCCCTATTAGCCGGAGGGTCGGTTCCTAATGATGCTAATTGTACGCTAGTGAAGGGAGGGGGGAGCTCAGGGGGAGGGCTGGGGGAAGGACTCGCGGTCTATGAACACAGGCGCTCCTGGCCAAAAAAGTAAACTAGTGGAAAGTTTTCTCCTCCTCTCCCTTTTTCGCCTTCCACTTCGCCCTCCTTCAGCCTGGCCAGGGCGCTGCAAACCGCTGCGTCAGGTTGCGCTCCCGTGCGAGGCGGGCAGGGACTCGGGGCTGCGGGGACAGAGGTGGCCGGAGCGGCGGGAGGGCAGCCCCGCTCAGCCCCGGTCTGCCCCGGCCACCCCCGAACCCCGCCGGGCACCGCCGGACGACAGCCCCGCACCCCGCGACGGAGGCACCAAACTTTTCCATCCCGGGACACCACTCGTGTAAAGCCGAAGGGGACGCAGCCCGCCCGCCTCTCCAGCCTGCTGGTGCCCGGAGCTGCCCCGGCTGCCCCAAGCGGACACGGGCACAGAGCCGGGGGGCAGCGCGCCCCTCGCCCCGGCGGCTCTCCCGGAGGGAATGCCCATCTGCATGCCCATCTCCTCACGTTCGTGCCAGCACACCTGGGGATGCAGCTCCGTGCCCGCAGCATCCCGGGAGCCCTCGCCCCTCGGCGGGGCTCTGCCGAGCCTCTCCAGAGAGCGCGGCGGGGGCAGCGGGGTCGCTGGCTGTGCCGCTGACAGCCTGATTTACAGGGAATGCTTTCCCAACACCCTCGCCAGCCGCAACAAAACACTGAGGCGTGCCGGCTGATTGCTCCTTCTCATCCTGCCCCCGAATTAAAGCAGGCGCGCCGAGAAAGTTTAGGTGCAAAGCAAAGCGTTTTTCTACCTGCAGGTTATTTGAAGTTAAACGACGCTTGCTGACACGATTTAAAAGCCCAGATTCCGCATCACACAGGCAAATAAAACCGACAGCATAAGAGCTGAAATAGAAATCATGCTGAAAACATTAAATCGTTTATGCTGTAAATAAATTCCCTGAACACCTGGTAGGCTATAAATTAAAACGTATAGCTAATAGGCGTCTTTGATTTACACTGCCCTTTCGACTAATTAAAAATAATTGTGACATCCCCAGAAAATAACCCCCACAAACTCATAAGGTGTATTGCTCATGTTAAAAGTAAAATTCCACCAAATATTTTTAGAATTTCCTTTCCCCAGAAATGATTGAAAAAAAAATACACCAAAACCCAACACACATCATCTTTTACAGACTCAGGAAAAATAAATTGCCTCTATAAACTCAGAATCCTGATGTTTCTTCTCAATTTATCACTTCACCTTTTCCTTGAGTTACAGCTGTCTGTGCCTCTCAGAGATCACTCTGGCCAACAGTGGTTGCTCTTCTCAGCAATCGCTTCCAAAACTTTCTTTGCTTAAGAAGGAGTAAAAATTAAAAAAAAAATAAAAATAAAAAGAAAGAAAAAAGAAGTTAAATGAATAATAATAAAAAATAAAGGCAATACTTTTCAAAAAATCCAGCCTACAAAGCTTGATTCTGCCTGCAACAGATTAGGGCTAAATAAAGGGTGTTAAAAGCAGGTGCTTTTCTCCCTTGCTGCTCTTTTTATTATGAAGAACAGAAGTTTCCCCTAATATATATAGTGAGGGAGACCCTTCTCCATTGCTTTTATTGAAAAGACCAAACTTGTGACATCACTAACCACCTTCCTATGGCTGAGTTTGCCTCTTCTCTGCCTCAGTGGGCTTGGGAAGAGGGAAAAAAAAAAAAAAAAAAATTAACCCAACTGTGTCTGTGCTAATACGGCAGGACCTGAGCAATGCCAAATGCTTTTAGGAGGCTCACTATCACCCCATGCCCCCCCCGCCCCCCTGCTCCCCGAGGGCTGCCATCTGTCGCGGGCGCAGCGCCTTGTCACCTGCCCTGCCACGTACACGAATGAGCAAACTCCTGGTCCCAAGCCTCATCGCAAGCCTGAGCCCTCCTCCGCGGCAGGATGGGGAGAAAAGACCCCTCACCTGGGGTTTAAACCTTCCCTTCCCCTCAGGATGCTGCGGGACATGCTCTCCCGGGAGGGACCCGCAGCCACCTGCAGCCTCTCCCCGTCCGGCCCGGCCGGCTCCGGTGTCCCCTGCCCTCGGAGGGGTGGGAAGGGATGAGGCTGGACTAGAGGATGGACCGGCTGAGCTTTGGGCGCGATTCCAATCCGCACACCTGTGCCGAGCACGGCTCCGCTCACGGAGAGCCCACGGCCCGGTGTCTGGAGAGGGAAAACCCCACACCTCTGGGGGCTTTCACCTGCCGGGCCCGGTGACGGCAGGGCTCCCCGCCAAGGCGAGCCGCTTGCGGCTGCCGCTTGTTTCTCCAGCCGGGATGCGCGGGGAGAACCGGTGGTTTTGTCTGACCCGGGAAAGGCTTCAGCCGTGGAGAGGTGAGGCAAGACCCCGTGTTTGCCCTCCTGGCCAAGCCCTCTCTGCCGCGACAAGGCAAACTTTATCATTTTAGGTTTTCTGACTCCACTATCTTCCGTCTTCCCGCCTCAAACACAATGAGATTTTGGAGGAATGCCGCGCTTGGCTTCTGCCTCCTTTTTCCGTAAGTATAAACAGGCATAAATCAGCTTTTCTACGAGGAAGTTGACCTGGGAGCTTGGCTAGAAAGATAAGTCCCTGTCCCAGGTTTTCCCGAGAGGGGAATAGGGCCAGGGGCTGCGGGCGGGTGTGTGACCGGGCTCCCCCCAGAAGCCGCTCTAGGAGAGAAACAAAAGCCAGCAAGTGGGACAGGTTCAGCTCTCAGGGGAGAGGTGCCCTTGCAGCCTCAGGGAGGCAGAGGGAAATAATGACTAAACCCCCGCCCGGCGCTCGGAGACCGGCTAAATCCTCAGCTCCGCGAACTTCCCAACCTTCATCTCCGCGAAGTTCCGCCTCTCCCTCCTCCCTCTTGTTTTATTCACAATAAAGCATTTTCGTCATTTCCCCTCCCGGATTTCTATAACCTCAGTTGCACCCGTCCAGGGCTTCGGTTCAGACGGGGAGTTTAACCTCCCCAATCTTCCCAGGGTGGAAAAAATGGTGTTCAGCAAAAAAACACAGGCGTGCTGACTGCTGGAGAGTCTGGCGGGGAAGGGAAGGGAGCGGCACCAGTGATTGCTGGACTCGTCCTGCGAGCACCAGAAATCCCCTGACTTGCTCAGCCTCTCTGACCCAGCGAGGTTAAAGCCAGCGAGCGCGGCTCTCGGCAGGCGGGGTGCGAAGCCCCAGAATATTTTTCCAAGGCTCCCAGGGTGGGCTTGAGGACAAGGCTGCGGTGGAATTGGTAGCAGGCACGACTGATCCCAGGTTGAGGCAGACTTTCTAGCACACACTCATTCTTGCCCAGGACCCAGCCCTGCTGCACGCTGCAGCGCCCAGCTCTCATGACGGGTCCTCTCCTCTCCTCCGACTGCCCGGTGGCAGTCGGGAATGAGAAACTCCCTCTTCCACGTCTGACATGGTGTCATCTTAGCATGGAGTGAAAGGATTGCTCGGGGAGAAAGAGAAACCCGCTTTCCCCCTCCCCATCAGCAAGCCCCAGACGTTCTGTGGTGCTCCATGCGAGCACACTAATCTTTATTAAGCAGTGATAGAGTGGCTGAGCAGAGCCGCCTCCAGCACCCGAGGGGCGGCCGGAGTTCCCCAGCTCAGCCATTGACACAACGCGCCGCTTATTTAGACAATATGCGTTTAATTTAATGCACTCGAGAAAGGGCGGGCGGGGCCGGGAGGGGGTAAAGCAAAAACACAAAAAGCTGCGTGGAGCTGAGGAGAGCTTTGCCAAATCTTCTGTCTGGTTCCTAGAATCCAGCAGACAGCGAAAGGAGTAATTTTCAGATTTGAGGGCGAGGAGGCGGCGGTGTATGCCGGGGCTGCCCTGCCCCGCAGCGCCCGCGGTGCCGCGGCCGGCCGAGCGTGGCCCGGCTCCAGCCCCCGGGCGCTGTCCATGGTGGTGCGGCCATGGCCTGGAGCTCCACCTTCCCTCTCTGGCTAGGGCTGGTCTTGACTTCAGCTTGAGACATATCTTAACACAGCTTGAGCTCTTTTTTCTTTCTTTCTTTCTTTTTTTTTTTTTTTTTTTTTTTTTTTTTTTTTTTTTTTTTTTTTTTTTTTTTTTTTTTTTTTTCTTTTTCCCCTTTTACTGAATATCTATCAAATACCAACAGGAAGAAACGTGTCTGGTCTGTTTAACTCACACAAAACTAATACCAAGTTGGGCTGGCTGGAGAACAAGAATTCAATTTAAAGAAGGGGGGGGGGGCGAAAGACTTGCAATTTGTTTTTGTGCTATGTTGGAACAAAATCTATCCCCTTAGACACTTTTCTGAGACGAGACAGACTCACCTCCTGCCTTGGAATAGCTTAGTGGTTAATGTACTCATCCAGGCTGTGGGACACCAGAGGTCAAGTCCTCCCTTTCTCTGATTCAGAGTCTTAATTCCTGAACTCTCAGTTTCTCTCAGTTCCCTCCCATCCCAGACCTAAAACCCTTTCCGATTACATTTGTGATGAATTGATATTTTCCAATGGGTGAAAACTGAATGCTTAATAAAGGAAAAATTCCCACCTAACAGTTATTCTGAGAAGTTATTCTTGGATTTTTTTGGTTAAACAAGGAGAAGTCCAGCCAGCTATCACACAACAATGGAAAGGAATTGAAAGCTGAGAAAGGAAGGGGTGAGCTAAGAAAAAGTCTCCTTCTCTGGTGGCACACAGGGCTGGTGTGGTTAAGACATACTTTCTTTATCTTTATCTTTGCAGATTATTTGGGCAAAAAGGCTATGGTTTTCCCATAGCCACACAGGGCTAGTAGAGTTGGATATGGGCTAGTTCCTTGGATATGGTTTTGCTCAATCATTTCTATTCCTTTACCTTATGGAACACAAGAGAAAATTGTAGTTTGGATCATCTAGTCTCATTTGATTTCCCAGCTAGGAATACAGGCTGCCTTTCCACACTGATGGAGAGAACTGGTTCGTGTGAAGCCTGAAGTCATGCCTGGGATTCTGGGAAGCAAGGTGCTGTAACAAGCTCCACCTTGAGCATAGCCTTTATTAGCTAACATTTCTGAAGTACATATCTTTGTTTTATGCATTTTGCTTTTGTTAAGCTAATTACTTTTGGTAACCTCCAGTCTGCCTTCCAGGAATTTTTCTGCTTCTTGCTGTTTGTTTTAAAAAGTAGACATGACTGCAACTGTTACGTGCATCCTCTGCTTTGACTCAGATGTGCTTTCTTCCTTCCTTTGCTCCTATGCAAGTGAAATGATCCTGTATTCTCTTCTTTCACACCACATTAATTATCTGCTTTCATATCCCTCACTCCCATTGAACAAGCTGCATCTTTAACCTCTTTCCAGAAGTCATGGGATCCATTCCAGCTCTCATTGAAGCCAGACTGCTTCTCTTTGTTCACTTCATTTGGACGGTGGTCAGCATCTTATATGGCCATCCCTTCTCTGAATATGGAATGTCCTTTAATCTTAGTGTGGTTTATTTTCCAGACATGATGTCCCAAAGGTTGTGAACTCTAGGCTGCAATAAGCAAAGTGGAACGACCACCTCACTTGCTTTAATCAGGCCTTGCACAGTGAAATGTAGCCTGGAGAGCTGCCCATGACACAATGCATAATAAGCTTGGACAGCAGGAGATGTGAGCAAGCATGTCTTTTAGGAGTTTCAATTAACCCTTGAAGGTTAGG